GCATGGTGGCGCGTGCCTGTAATCCCAGCTACTTGGGAGGCTGAGGCAGGAGAATCGTTTGAACCCGGGAGGTGGAAGTTGTGTTGAGCCAAGACTGTGCCACTGCACTCCAGCCTGGGCAACAAGAGTGAAACTCCATCTCAAAAAAAAAAAAAAAAATTACAGGTTTGGGCTGGGCATGGTGGCTCCCACCTATAATCCCAGCACTTTGGGAACCAAGGCAGGAGGATCACTTGAGGCTGGGAGTTCGAGACCGGCCCAGGGAACATAGAGAGAGACCCCATCTCAATAAAAAAAAATAAAAAATAAAAAAATTTTTAAATTAGTTGGGCGTGGTGGCATATACGTACTAGCTACTTGGGAGGCTGAGGTGGGAGGATCACTTAAGTCCAAAAGTTTGAGGCTGCACTAGAGCCAGTTTTATGGGCAACCATTCTCTTCCTTTGCCATGGTCCCTATCCAAGCCCATAGAATACAAACTTCTTAGGCCGGGCGCGGTGGCTCAAGCCTGTAATCCCAGCACTTTGGGAGGCCGAGACGGGCGGATCACGAGGTCAGGAGATCGAGACCATCCTGACCAACATGGAGAAACCCTGTCTCTACTAAAAATACAAAGATTAGCTGGGTATAGTGGCAAGCACCTCTAGTCCCAGCTACTCAGGAGGCCGAGGCACAAGAATCACTTGAACCTGGGAGGTGGAGGTTGCAGTGAACTGAGATCACACCACTGCACACCAGCCTGGGTGAGAGTGAGACCCTGTCTCAAAAACAAAGGATGAGTATCGCCCCTTCAAGCCAAAGGTACTGAGAAAACGCCTGAGAACTAACAACTTAAAGCTGTGAGAGATTCGCAAAAGGACAATCAAAGCCATATAATGAAAAATATTACAGGAACACATGATGGCATTTTGTTCTATTAATCCTGAAACCCAACACCATACTAAGTTTCTGAGGAGGGAAATTTCGCTGCAGAAGGTCAAAACGCCAGCACACCTGTTCTGACTTGAGTGTGAAAGTAACACCTCACCCTACAGGCCCACCACCCACCTGCTCTGGGGCCTCTCAGCTTCCCCATCACTAAGCCTTACTCTTTCCCTTAAAATCCACAGGGAAGCATAGCCTCAAAGAACAGAAAATAGATGACATTATTTTGTCCCTTGGGCAGAAGGAGAAGCTGTGGTCTGAGACTCCAGGTCTGCAATCATAGGAATATGCCCAGGTACCTTCGAAAAGATGACTGCTCTTTTGCTTTTGACATCAGAATCAGAGAGCAAGCAGCTAGTATGGAAACAAATTTCATCCGCACAACAGTGTACTGCCTGTGACACCACACCTGGAAAGAATGACCCTGGCCACCAACTCTACTCTAATGGTGTCCCTAGGTAAAATCTCTACTGGAAACAGGAGTGGCGTGGCCTACCTGACTTTGGTAGTGAACTGGACGCCGGTCTTGATGACAAGGGGCCGGTCGGGATGCATGGGCATGCAGGGCTGCCGCTCCACCACAAACGCACTGAGGAAAGAGAAGACGGGCTCACACGCCACGGCCGCGACTGGAAGTCAGCCCGCCTCTCACTCTACCACATGAGTCTTTAGGTGTTTTTTAGATGAGGGAAAGGGACAAGGATGCTAAGTTACCTTTTCATTAAGTTTCTGAACAGCTCCACGATTCTCTCCTCCAGCATCGGCCGGTGCTGTACAATGGGGTCCCCTTTGTAGGACACTTTTTGCTGCAACTCCTCCAGTTTCTTAATTTGTTGACGGGTCTGAAGTTGAGATTCTGCTAATGACGTTATCCTGCCAATAAATTAAGAAAGGTGTTAATTACCAAAGTGAATGTATATAGGTGAGATGGAGAAGGGGCAGGAAATACTGGAGACATGGAGACCCCTACAATAAGAACAAGGAATATTTTTAATTGTGGTGAAATATACATAGCATGAAATTTACAATTTTTTATCTTAAGTTTACAGTTCAGTGACATTAAGAAAAGAGGAATTATTCACCACGTTGGGTGGATGCTGAAAATAAATAAATAAATAAATAAGTTGTTATTATTTGTTTACTTATTTTTTGAGCTGGAGTGCAGTCGTGCAATCTCAGCTCACTGTAACCTCCACCTCCAGGGTTCAAGCGATTCTCCTGCCTGAGCCTCCTGAGGGATTACAGGTGTAAGCCACTGTGCCTGGCCTATTTATTTATTTATTTATTTGAGACAGAGTCTCACTCTGTTGCCTAGGCTGGAGTGCAGTGGTGCAATCTCAGCTCACTGCAACCTCCGCCTCCCAGGTTCAAGTGATTCTCCTGCCTCAGTCTCCCAAGTAGCTAGGATTACAGGTACCCACCACCACTCCTGGCTAATTTTTGTATTTTTAGTAGAGATGGGATTTTGCCATGTTGGCCAGGTTGGTCTTGAACTCCTGACCTCAGGTGATCCACCTGCCTCAATATCCTGAAGTGCGGGGATTAGAGGTGTGAGCCACTGCGCCTGGCCAGAAAATAATTTATTTTACCTTTTATTACTAGTCCCTTCCTAAAATCTCAAATCTCTAAGAGGGGCCTGGGCATAAAAGTATTAAAATTTATACCACTAGGAGGCATTGATGGAGTTATCATTGGAAAATGACAAGCATCTGAGCCCAGATATGCAGAACATGAAATATGAAATTTAGAACTTACTTTATTCATCCTAACTTGTCTATGAACATAGACAGCTCACAAAGATGGATTTGAGCCAGCTCTGTCACACACTATCTGTGCAAGTTTTGCCAGGCCCTTCACCATCATGGGCCTTAGCTTCCCCTCTCATGAAGAGAAGGGCTTGAACTACATGAGCCCTTTATTTTCTTTCTTTTTTTTTTTTTTGAGGCAGGGTCCCACTCTGTGGCCCAGTGCAGTGTAATAGCATGATCATAGCTCACTGCCTCCTCCAACTCCTGGACACGAGTGATCCTCCTACCTTGGCTTCCTGAGTAGCTAGAACTACAGGTGTGTGCCACCATGCCTGTTTAGTTTTTTGAGATGGAGTCTCACTCTTGTCACCCAGGCTGAAGTGTAATGGCACATGTCTAGTTTTTTAAATTTTTGTAGGAATGGGACCTCACTTTGTTGCCCAGGCTGGTCTCAAACTCCTGGGTTCAAGCAATCCTCCTGATTCTGCCTCCCAAAGCACTGGGATTTACAGGCGTGAGCCACGACACCCAATCCCCATAAACCTTTTCAATGTCAGCCTTCAACTGATCAAAGGACACAACATTATGTTTCAAGACATTGATAACATGCACAAGGAATAAGTGAATAGAGAGTAAGAAAAAGTTCATTAAATCTATCTCCAGGAATAGAGAATATTAGGCCAGGCACAGTGGGTCACACCTGTAATCCCAGAAATTTGAGAGGCCGAGGCAGGTGGATCGCTTGAGACCAGGAGTTTGAGACCAGCCTGGCCAACATGGTGAAACCCCATCTGTACTAAAATACAAAAAAATAGCCAGGCATGGTGGCATGGGCCTGTAATCCTGGCTACTTGGAAGGTTGTGGCTAAGAATTGCTTGAACCTGGGAGGAGAAGGTTGCAGCAAGCCATGACCGTGTCACTGCACTCTAACCTGGGTGACA